TTGATACTTGAATCTCTTGTATATTATCTATCTTAGAAGAATGGTGATATTGCATATGTTGATGAGTATACCTGCATATATATATATATATATATATATGTGTGTGTGTGTGTGTGTGTGTGTGTGTGTGTGTGTGTGTGTGTGTGTGAGTGTGAGTGTGTGTGTGAGTGTGTGTGTGTGTGTGTGTGTGTGTGTGTGTGTGTGTGTGGTATCCATACTTAGGATTTATTGTTGGATTGCCTTATTGTCTATGTGTATACTCGTTGTATTTGAATGTCAACTGTTTTCCAAAATCTATATCTATATTTATGTTACAGGGTTGAGTGGTTTTATACGTAGCATTTTTATGTTAACGGGTTTATTTTCCTATGTGCTTTTATGACCCCTTTCAGGTGGACTTGATGCATGAAGAGAGCATGCATTGATAGTAGTAGTGTGTAGCTCTAGGGCTTAGATGCTAGCCTTAGTTATCCTCCTTATTTTGGTGATTTTCTGTGTAATTTTGCATAATCCCTTAATCTATGTTTCAACTTACTTTCTTGCCAACTGGATAGTGGACTGATTGACTCAGATTTGCGATGAGACAATCAATCAGATAGATAATCAACTATAGCGAAATACGGAAGACTAAGACAAAAAATAAATGCAACACACAAGTTTGTTTACCCAGTTCGATACAGTGTGTATCTACATCTGGGGGACGATCACTGATGCGTCCAATCCACTAAGTCAGAATCCAATGTACAAAGGTAGAGTAGAATGATCTCACCCAAGTGTCTCACACAAGGTCAGTACCCAGTCTGCAAAGGTTTAGTAGATTGTTGAAGTCGGAGAGTGATGAGATTGTAATTTAGTGGGTGTGATGGATGGAGTGTAAGTGTAAACGAGGATATGAAACCCCCGAGTGTCGAACTCAAGGATAGCAAGTCGGAGAAAATAGAGGGCAAGACAATCACGTATCACAGTGCATTAACAAGGGTAACTAGGTGCAAGGAGTGTAGGTTAGAGCATGTGTTTAAGAGAGTGTAAGGGAAAAAATAACAAAGGGAATAAGAAAAGAAATAAAAGAAACTATAAAATAGAAAGCGTAGTGGATTGGAATTCACATTCCTTTGTGCTTGTGAGGTGAATCTGGGCTAGTGTTGAACTAATCAAGTGAGATGACTTCCAATGCCGTTCTCCACTCGGTTACTAGGTCTTTCATAGGTGTGGAATCACCATTCCGTGACCACGTTCCTTATGAGCATTTCAACAAACACTTTGTCTACATCTCATTTTCATCGCCGCCCTCTCGGATCTTAGAGAAGGAAACTGCAAGGAGACAAGTCTAGGATTAAGCCACAATCTCTTATCGACCTAATCCTACTCAAACCTCAAGCATATGTTGTACACCATACACAAGAGTCCATACAAAGTCTCTTTACAACAAGACATCAACACATAGCAAAACAAATAGATCAAAACATATTTAGCACAAATAAATGAGATTCAATTCACTACTAGAATTTTTGCCAATCATTATAGAGATCAAGATCAAGCAATGGCAAAATAGGTAAAACAAGATATTATCAAAGAAGAACAAGAGTGGTTTTTACCCAACTTCGAACTAGATCCCTTCAATAGATGGTAGGAAATGAAGATCCAAGCTACAAGCTCAACAAATCTTCAAATCTCCTTTACAAAGCAAAATGGATCTTGGCTAAAACCCTAGAAAGAGAAAATGTAAACTAACCAGCTAAATCTAAAGCTATCTAAAAACTCCTCTCTAAAAATGTTGAACTCTCCAAAATGTTTCTTCTTGCTTCCCAAGACAGCTTGTAGCTCTCAATTCTTCTCTTTTTTTTTTTTTTTTGTCTTCAAAACTCAGCATAATGCACTAGGGTTGAACAAAGATGGGCTTTTTATAGTTGAAGCTCAATAGGAATAGATTTGGAAATTTCTACACAACTTTCCAAAAATCTCGCCCAGTGACGTAGGTCCGTTTTCAGGCTTATTTTGACCATTTTCCCTTCTGATATAGACTTTTATGTCTTCGTAAGAGTTCTATCCCTTCGAGCCTTCTTTCAAATGGTGCAAGAATCACTTCATTAGGATATTCCTAGGCTGAGATATGGTCAAAAAATCAAACTGTCACCAATCTGTGCGAGAATTTTTACTTCTTGCTCTTTTGAAAAGTGATGAAACTTCACTGGAAATTTTTAAGTTTTTTGCTGATTCATAGGTTGTATCCCTTCGAGTCTTTTTTCCAATGGCGCAAGAATCACTTGAATCGGACATTCCTAGAGTGAGATATGATCAAAATACTAAGGTGTCGCCAAATTCGGCGAGAATTACAACTCTATGGTCTTTTGCTCAACTTTTCCCTTGTTTTGTTCTTGTGATCAAATCCATTGAAAGTACCACTCTTTGGCTCTCTTTGAAGCATTTTAGCCACCTCCTTAGCTTCACCTTGACTTTGTTTTAGCTCCAAACTCGTCCTAAAACTTCCTTTGCTTTTGCAATTGATCTACAATGGTTCAAAACACTAACAAGCATCGTAAAACATTCAAATCAAGTGTAAAATCATATCTTAATGAGAAAACAAGGGAATATGCAATTAAAGTAACAATTAAATGAACTTAAACCCAACAAATATATTCAAACCAACACTATAAACATGTACAATTAAGCTCACATCATTCATTAGCTTAAAAATTGAATCCATAGGTTCTTCATCACAACTAGAATCAAACTCACATTGGGTAAAAGAGGATTGAGAATTTACCTTTTCATCTTTGGCTATTAAGCAGAAGTCTTCTTCTGACTCTTGTTGGCTGTATAGGCAGATGAGTCCATTCTCATCTCCTTAGCTTTCGCTCTCTAAACTTGAACTGGAGGTGCACGGCTCGTTTGTCACCTTCTTGGTTGACTCTTCTGTTACGAGTGATTTCCTCCTCCAGTCACCCTTCGAGTGACTAGCCGAGTGGTTGTTGGCACCTCTACCACTCGTTTCTCTTGTGGCATTCCTCGAGTTGTTGTTGTTGTCGGCACTCCTTGGTTGGTCTTGATGCTTTCACACAATCGCATAGGGGCATTCTGCCTTGTAATGTCCCGGTTTCCTACAGTTGTAGCACAGAACTTGCAACTCATTAGAGTCTCTACTCTTTGAGGTGTTTGACCTCTCGGAGTTTCTCCGATTTGAGGAAGATGGAGTTGATGGAGTCCCTTAGATGTTGCTCTTCCTCATGAAGCGCTTAAATTTCCTGACAAACATGGAAAATTGTTCATTAGATAAAAAATCAGATGGGTTAGAGTTGGACCTGGAAGATGTTAAAGGTTGTTGGTCAGCAACCAACGCTACACTCTTCATCTTCCTTGAGCCCCCTTTCGAACTCATAGGTCTTCAAGTCGCTAAAGATCTGTGAGGTTTGGATGGCCTTGAGGTCTCGGTTCCCTCATGGCGATAACCTTCATCTCCCACGATTTGGGTAGAGCACGGAGAATCTTCAAGTTTATCTCCTTCTGGCCCAGCAATTTGCTCAGATCCGCTACCACGCTTAGTAGCTTCATGAACAGAGTCTCCATCTCGGTTATGCTCTCGCCGTTGACCATTCGGAAGTCCTCGAACTTCTTCATGGCAATGGTGACCTTGTTCTCCTTCTCTTGCTCGTCCCATTCGCCAATCTGAATGACGATATTTCTTTGGTAGATTTGCATTTTTTATCCTCGGGAATAGCATGTCATCAACCATCTTGAACAAGATGTCCTTAGTTATATTATCCAAGTTGTTCCTAGTACGGTCTTCTGTACTCCATGCATGTATCGGCTTTGCCACATACTCTAGTGCATCAAGTCATTGAGCAGCCCTGTTAGCATTTATCATCATGATTTGCACTGGACCTTCCGTTATAACCTCCCACATCTCGTCGTGGAGAGACGAGAGGTGCGCATACATACGCATCTTCGAATCGTCAAATTTATTAAGGTTGAACATGAGGTTCTTGGACATATGATGATCTATATCATATAAAAAATAATGCGTGCAAAGGAAAATGATTTTGATTTTTAAATTGAGATCACCAGGCAGTATACTCGAGAGTTCACCATTCAAGATAACTGCTCTGATACCACTTGTTGGTCCTAGGGAGGGTTAGGGTACAAGTCTAGAGGGGGTAAATAGACTTGTAGAGTTTTGAAAACTTTTCGAAAGGTTAAAGCAACCGAGGGGTAACTGTAACTTCTCGTCAGAATGCACAACGAATTTTTTTTTATAACCCTTTTGAGTTTCTTTGCACGTAGTTTTAGTCTTATCAAACTTTATGTTTGGTTGAATGTTATACAATAAAGCAGTAAATAATTTAAAGAGAGAGATTTTTTATAGTGGTTCGGCTATAACCAGCCTACTTAACTCTTCTCCACAACACTTTGCGACCTTTTCGGTTATGAATGGTTGACCTTACCATTTGTTTTTGCAACAATTCAAAAGGTATACCCTTCCACCTCTCGGTCTTTGCAACCTTTCGGTCTTGATATCTCCACTCTTCGGATCTTCAGTCTTCCGATCTTCATCTCAGACCATTCGAGAGTTAACCACTCAGGTTGCCCTTCGAATCTATTATTGAGACTGACCTCTCGAGTTAACATTCGGATGACTTGAATTGTTACCACTCGAGGTACCGTTCGATTAGTTCGAATGTTTAAACAAAATTATCCTAAATCTAGAAAATAAAATAATTGGGGTCTAAAATCCTATCATTTGTTATCATCAAAATCTAAAAACAAATGTTTCTAACACACACACATATATATGTATGTATGTAGGTATATATATAATGATTTAAGATTTAAGGATACCTTGTATTTTTTTTTTTTTTAATACTACTTACTCTGTCACAATGCAATATTTATTTATAATTATTTTTCAATTCACTAAAGCATAAAAAGTCAATGATGTCGAGCAACTTGGCGCCACTCAGGTAGGTTTAGGATTATGACAATTCTAATCTTCTTGCAACTCTCAATCTACCACACTACTACCATCTTCCCTCTACTGCTGGACCCACTTATGCACGCCCACGGCGCAAGATAGCCTCCATCGCTGCCACCTGTACATTTCTTCAAGCTATCAAAGCCCTAAGAATTTGTGTTTCAGTATCCTTGTTGATCTAAATTCCGCAGATATTTTCCTGAAATTCGCTGAATTTTGATTATTTTTCTTTTATTTTAAAAGATGATGGGCTCGGAGAATCAAGGTGAAGTCCATCTACGAGCACCGAGAGTCGCTTCAATGGAGAGCTTGACCCTCAACGATGAAGATTTGACCTCGAAATCCTACGCGAGTTACGTAAGTGCCATGACTACGCTTTCCAACTCCCAACACCCCCTATTGCCGTCGATCGTCGCTACCCCTGCCGACGCCGATCCACTCCTTTTCCCGGCGCAGCCACTCTCCCCGGTCGGAGCATCAAATTCTCCGCAGAAACCTTATCTTGAGCCTCCATCCTATGCTGATGCAGTGTTTAACCCTCTCGACCAACTCGCCAGCTCCGGCGAAGAAGCGAACGGCGGGCAGAGCCCCGTCGGACACTCCGATAAGTCGGTAATGTTTCCTAGATCCCCTTCCTCGAGTTCGGAGCATTTGAAAGTTGCGGTTTCCAATCCGCAAAAAGAGATGGAGTCCTCGAATTCAATTGTTCCGGGAGGTAACACTTTTGTTACCTATTTGATTACTACGAAAACGAACATACCGGAATATGGCGGATCAGAGTTCAGTGTCCGGAGGCGGTTCAAAGACGTGGTAGCATTGGCGGATAGATTGAATGAAGCTTACAGAGGGTATTTTATTCCTCCCAGGCCAGACAAGAGTGTAGTGGAGAGTCAAGTGATGCAAAAACAAGAATTTGTGGAGCAAAGGAGGGTGGCATTGGAGAGGTACTTGAAGAGGCTTGCAGCACATCCTGTGATCAAGAAGAGCAATGAATTAAGAGCCTTCTTGCAAAGCACTGATGGGGCATCAAGGGTGCTCGATGAGACAGCCAAGCTCCCAAATCAGTTCTTTCCGGACTCTAGGAATGCAGTTCAGCCACAGGATGTGGTGCAACCAGCAAGAGGTGGGAGGGATTTGCTGAGATTGTTTAGGGAATTGAAACAGTCAGTTGTAAATGATTGGGGTGGATCGAGGCCACGGGTGGAGGAGGATGATAAGGAGTTTCTGGAGAAGAAAGAAAGATTGCATGAACTTGAGCAAAATCTGACCACTGCATCAAAGCAGGTTCAAGCCTTCTGCCCATCTCTCTCAATGCCATTGTTTCAATATTATGTTATTTATTGAATTTAATTATGCATATTTAGCAGATATTTTGATGTCACTCTTGCTACTAGTCACTAGCATGCCATCATTTACAGTTTAGCTTGTGATTTTATCAATATGAAGTGAAAATTCATTGCATCCAATCATGTGATATTACATTTTGCTCTGTTGATTGGAATCATTTTTCATTGATATCTGATTACGTTTATTCCAAATTAGGCTGAATTGCTTGTTAAAGAACAACAAGATATGTCCGAGACCATGGGACAATTAGGGCTAGCGTTTCTTAAATTGACAAAATTTGAGAATGAGCGGGCGATGTTGAACACACAGAAAGTACGTGCTGCTGATATGAAAAATGTGGCAACTGCAGCAGTTAAAGCAAGCAGATTGTACCGTGAACTAAATGCACAGACTGTGAAGCATTTGGTAACTATGTCATTCCTTCTATACATATTTGGCAAAGTGAAAGAATTTTGTCATATGACAATAACTATTATTTTTTGTTTAGACCACGAGGTCTCCTGAGTTAGGAAGCACCTTTATGCCCGTACCATACTCAGACTAATCTCCGTTCGTAGTGGGTGACCCAATTAAGGTTCAAAGTGCTGGTCATATTGGCTTTTCCATACGAGAGGGGGTTTTGAACTCCCGACCTCTTTTAAAGGATGAGAGTGCATAGCCACGCCAACCAAGCTGGTTATACTAACTCTTTGATGACCAAATAAAATTTGAAACAGTGTATTAATTAATGTCATTATTGTATAGCATAGGCAATTTGGCATTGAAAATTCCTTGAACATTCTGTTACTAGAAGGGTGTGAAAGTTCTAAATATCCTTTTGCAGGATGTCCTACATGAGCACCTGGGGCTAATGTTGGCGGTGCATGGTGCATTTTCCGATCGGTCAAGTGCATTACTAACAGTACAGACTCTTCTATCAGAATTGTCCTCTCTAAATTCTAAGGCTGAAAAACTTGAAACAACATCACCAAAAAAATTTGGAGGTGATAAATTAAAGATTCAAAAATTGGATGAATTGAGGGGTACTATTAGAGCCACTGAGGATGCTAAAAGCTGTGCAATCAGAGAATATGAACACATCAAGGTATAAATGCTAGTATAAAGAATACGTGTGATTATATATAGATGCTAGTGCTGTTCTTTTCAGAGGCCTTGAGCCTCATGGCCTTTGTAAAATTATTGTGGCATGCATGTGGTGCCTTTATTAAAATTAGTTATCAACAAAAAGGTATCTTGTATTTCTCTCTTCTGGGTGGAATTATGATTATTATGGAGTAATACTTGTGTCTGTGTGTGTGTGTTTTGCTTGTCTGCTCAGTATCTGTCTCCTACAAAGATGTTCTTCTTGATTCTTTGGTATGTGTAATTATTGTAGATCTATTTAAAGCCCATAATATGGACTTTGCTAATTTTTAACCTTTAGTCAAACCCATGATATGGACATTGATATTCTTTTTTATCTTTTATTATCATATTCTAAAGTATTTGTGGTACTGCAGGAAATTAATAGAATTGAAATGGGAAGACTTGATAGAGAAAGGCATGATAACTTCATAAATATGTTGAAAGGATTCGTGATTAGTCAGGTAAACTCTGTCATTTTTTTTTGGTGAACGTAAACTCTATGTCATACTTCTAAATAGCATTGATTGATTAGTCATTGATGTATTGAAATGTGTACTTGTATTTTTCATTGATCTGTCATGCTGGGAGCTCTGTTGCCTCCTGCTTTAAGGGCGCTTTTGGTTTAAGGAGCAGTTTTAGATAATATAACATGATCGAGAATCTCATATAACTTAAGAAATTTTGGAAGGAATGAGATTCATATGAATGTGAGAAAAGTGAACTAAAAGCCAAGATTGGGAATCTCACATATTCTCTTGAACTAAACAAGGGCATGTAACATTTCATTGTTCACATTCTAAGGGTTATTTGATATAACTTGAAATCTTGAATCAATTGCACCCTAAAATGTCTGTTAGGTTTTGGCATACTGGCCAATGAACCTTTTGATTTATGCCATTGAACTTGAAGGGTAATGCTTTGTGCAATGTTCCTGATCTTAAAAAGCACCCTATCTGCCTCTCCTAGTACCAAAACTAAAAGCTGCCTAGTTATCTGGTAGTCCGTAGTCCCCTGGATGGACCTCTATTTCTCCTTTGATGAAATAGCGTCCATCCACCTGACTATGAACTACCAGATGCTCTATCGGGCCGGGGTGTGGGGGGGCCCTTAGGGTTAGGGTTCAACCTTTTGGAAAGAATGAACTACCAGTATAGGCTTTTCTTCTTGCCGAATATAGGCTGTTAGTGTTTTTTGTTTTCCACCACTAAAATGGTGGATCTTTTATTTCCTTTTGGACCGGGGTATGCCCTGTGTATCTGTAGTATTTGGGATAATAATATAATTTACCATTACCCCAAAAAACTAAGAGCTATATTGGTTGATCATTTTATGTCCTTTATGAATATAGTTTTCCAGATAACAGTTCGATGCTCGAGTCTAGTGTTTAGATGGAGGCTATTTGCCTTTCTAAGTGAAAGGAATCAAAGGATTATCCAGGTTGGAAGACTCTTTCTCTTTACATGCTCCTTGGCCAAGCTGCATTATTTAAAACATAAATGGTGGCTTTTAAGAAATCTGGTACCTGGGGTGGGATGTTGCTAGTGGAACCTGTAATTAATTACAGATTTCTAACTGCTTATACTTGAATAAAGTCATTAGTGCAATTCTGCTAATGCTATTGATTTGCTTTGATGATATTGCAGGCAGCTTATTCAGAAAAAATTGGAAAAGAGTGGACAAAAGTGGCAGAGGAGACTAGTCGATACACCAAAGATAGTGCTTAATTCGCCCTGTAAACCAGATTACCAGCTTCTTCTTCTCTTTGCTTCATGTTCTATTCATTCACACTAGGGGACAATAAAACAAATCCAGAGAGAGAGAGAGAGAGAGAGAAAGCAAATGCGGAATATTACATTTGAGATTTCACCAAGTCCCATGTTTAGCTGTAGAGGCCTTTAACTTTAATGTCTTGTAAATTTCTTGCCTGAATTTTGTTGGTGTTTGAGATGGTTAGTAACCACGAAATTGCTGAGGGTTATGTTGCGTCGTCTCTTTCTTTAGTTTTGGCAAAATTCTGTCTAACGAATATTTGTTCGCGAGGCGGATTGAGTTAAGATGAAAAATGTAATACTAGTTAGGAATAAAGTATTCATTACTTATGGAATGTATAATACTTTTGATAAAAATGTAATATTTTTAATCAAAATAAATAAGTATTATATTTTCTATTAAAAATATTACACCTTTTTTAGGATCAATTTATTTCTGATTAGTATTACATTTTCATATTAATTTGACATGTTTTATGAACAATTTCACACTTGCGTGACCGTTTTCGATTGCTTATATAATAGGGTATTTTTTTTTTTTGTAAAATCACGAAATGTCTGTACAGGTCCTGATTGTAAAAGACACTTTTAAGTTCGTATCATTCATAATAGGGTAATATTGACTTGCTTTATAATCATGTTAGACACATTAAACTATGCAATTGTAAACAAAATGCAGCTATACATTGCACAGTTTTTGTCAAGTCAAAATATGGAATTCATTAATTCAAAGCATCAATATGTTCAAAAACCTAACCAATTCTAACCTCTTATAGGCAATAATATGTGTATCGATCAATGAAATGAAATGTTAGGGATGAATATGAGCATGTACTGAAACTTCGACTTGGCATTTGAAGATTAATAGTTCCATGGACATCGATCAGACCTGGGAGACGATGGGAGGTACGCCGTGAACGTTGGCAGATGACGCGGATCCATTGCCGCTGATGAATGCGAACAAGCCAAAACCTTTCACTTCCTGATCATCCAGAAACAGGTCCTCCGGATCCCTGAAAGCGCCGTGGATGCACACAATGCCGAATCCGATCAGTGTTGCTGAGATGAGAAGCGATCCGACATTGGTGAGGAAGATCGCGATCACGGAGAGAAGAATTAGGAGGCCTAGGGTTTCGCGATCGGAGAATTTGCGGCCGAGGATGACGACCGGCTGATCGGAGGGGCGGAGGTTGTAGAGGAAGAGCCAGGCAATGAGGAGCACAAGGATGGCGAGGAGGGAGGCGGGGTGGGAGGCGAAGGACAGGCAGACTACGGCGACGATTAGGGTTAGGTAATTGACGCGGAAATAGGAGAGGTTCTTGCGGACGCGCGAGGTGGCGTCGGACAGGGAACTTGGCCGGGAGAAGGAGCTGCGGTCCACGAGCTCCAACCAGGGGCGGCGGCGCGAGAGGCCGCCACGGAGAGAATGATAGAGGCGAGTCAGGAAGGTGCGGATGGCGAATGCTGCGGCGGCGATGGCGGAGGCAGACGGCTGAGAGTGCGAGGGGATTGTTGACATTTTACGAAAGTAGAAGGGTATATATGGGAAGAAGGAATTATTAGCAGACAAAATTTGACTCAGAGGTTAGAAGCAATAATTGACTTTTCGTTGAGATGAGTTGAATGCGAAAGCAACATAAGATAAAAAGGGAGTTTTAGAGATAGGTGGACATTAATTGCGTTTGAAGCCGCTGATTTTGCATGAAATGATAAATGAAATTTGATGCGGGACAGACACTACGCAATTCCCAATCCTTATGCTGTGGAATCGTCCACCTTATAAGATGGACACGATTTCATGTTCATAATTACTAAACTATATGTTCATAATTATAAAGCTATATATTCATAATTTTTGAATTTTATATTTATAATTATTGAACTCTATGTTTATAATTACTTAAACTATATGTTCATAATTATAAAATTATATATTCACAAGGGAAAATGACATTTTTTTTCCCTGTGTTATATACTTATAACATTTTTTTTCCTGAATTATTTAAGTGGCAGCTTTTTCCATGATATGTTAAATGAACATCACGATTTGGTTCAAATCAAACAGACACTATAGCAACCAAATAGAAAGGTTATGATGACAATTTAGAACCGGAGGTTATGATGACAATTTAGAACCGGAACCCGATATTTAGAGTTAATTAAAAGCGCGAACCGAAATTGCCCGTTTGAATTGAAAAAATAAAATACATTAATTATTGAATTTAGAATATTTTTAAAATAAAAAAAATAAATTTAAAAGAAAGTTTGAACCCGAATCGACGGTTCAAAATTAAAACCAAATCGCGGTTATATATATTTATATGTGAGAATTAAAATAAATGCGAAAAAGAACATACATTATTTGTAATATTATAATTCTAATTTTAAGCAAATGCTAGTAGTTGTTCCGATTTGGAGCTATAAGTATATAACTCAAGGGAAAAAAATGTCATTTTTCCTATTCACAATTTTTTAACTTCATATTCACGATTATTGAATCTCTATATTCATAATTACATAACTATACGTTCATAATTATGTTCAGCACTCTATGTTCATAATTATAGAACTATATGTTCATAATTTTTGAACTATATATTTATCATTATGAAAAGTTTTATAATCGTGTTCACCTTGCAAGACAGTTGTTATATTGTGGACCGCCGTGCATAATCGATTATGCATCGCGGTCAAAAAGGCGCCGTTTCTTTAAGTAAAGAAACGGCGCACTGTTAGTGTTAACGAAGTGACACTACATTGTATCTAAACTGACATTGCCTCACGTATTATTTTTATATTATCAAATGAAATTGCAGTTATATCAAAATGATACTGTAGTTGTGGTGAAATCAAACTGCAATATATATAAAATGAAACTGAATAACATTTCACATATTTGAGTGTATATTGTACAATGAAGCTGTAATTATATCGAAATGATCATGTAGTTGTGTTTTAATGAAACTATAGTGTATATAAAATAAAATTAAATAACATGTTCACATATTTAAGTGTATAAATATTGAATGAAACTTTAGTTATATCAAAATGAAACTGTAATTGTGTTGAACTGAAACCGCAGTATATACAAAATGAAACTGAAGAACAGAGTTATTTTTTGCGAAACGGTGCGAAATGGATTCCGTTTCTTTTCATTAAATAAAATGGCGTCGTTTTGATGCACGGTACATAATCGATTATGCATCGCGGTGCACGATATAATTTGCCCTTGCAAGGTGGACACAGTTCCAGAGTACAATTTGCCCGCAATTCCCAAGGGACCCAAAATGGGCCACCATTGGCTGTAGGCCCAATTACTTATTTTGGACTTGTTACCTAGACTAGAGATTACTCGGCAAATTATTTTTATATACAAATAAATATGAGTCAATTACCGTTTTGGTCCCTCGATTATGGTGAAAGTATCAAATTGGCCCTCAAAAGAGACGGTGAGTAAACATTCAAACTGACGGAGGACCAAATTGGATACAAAATCAATAGTTAAGGATTTAATTGGCCAAAATTGATAGTTGATGACCAATTTGATACTTTTGCCATAGTCGAGGGACCAAAACGATAATTAACTCTTAGTACAAGTTTATTTGAGTGTGTGTCCCCCCTTGTTGTTGCATGCGGTCAACCTTTATACTAGTAGCAACTGTTACAATATTAATGGCTCCCCTCACTAAGCTGTCGCAGCTCCTTAGTAACTGATATGTGTTCCCCTTCATAACTTCTGCTCTTTATGGGTTGGTGCTCCAATAAGTGCATTAGGCTCTACCTTAAGTGCACCATTCCACATGCTCTGCTTGGCCGTTATTATTTGACTGTGTTAATTGCTTTGACTCCTCCAAATTAGAATAATAGCACTGTGTTGGTTCTAGTACTTTGTCCAATTATCCTGTTAGTAAGTAAGTAGGTGAGTTGGGTGAATAGGATATAGATAAGTGAATTAGAATTTTGTAAGTGAAGAAAACTGTTTTTACAAATAAAACTAGTTTTTTTTTTTTTTTTTACGCGCATTGCGCAAATGGAATAATGCCCAATAATTATTTTTAAATAAATACTTCAAAGTATATCAATGCAATATTATATAGATGTTCTTGCATAGGTAATTGAATGTTGAATTTGTTTAAAGTATATAAATGCAAGATAATATATGAGAGAATGATTATAATTGTCACTAACATTTGCAACTTTGTAATAACGCTAGTCTAAATACTTAGTCTAAAAGTGATAGTCTAAATAAATACTACTTTTGGTTTAAATTTCTGTAAGTCTTCTTAATTCTCTTTTGGGTAGCATTATCATTGTCTTCATCTTCAGTACATCTCATGTCTTCTTTTTTTTTTTTTTTTTTTTTTTTTTTTTTTTTTTTTTTTTTTTTTTTTTTTTTTTTTTTATTGATAGTATGTCATGTGCAATTGGGTTACTGGTGGTAGCATAGAGGGCATCATCATGCAATGGGATTATCGTGTTGAAAGTTTTAAATTTTCCTTGCTGTGTATATAACTAAGATCTTAGTTGTACTATGAACTTTTTATCTTACAAGTGCGTATTGATATTTGATAGTGTTAGTTTTCCCTACATATGTTTCATGTGTTGTGAGATGTGTGTCATAGATTATCATGTCAAAGTATTGAACAAAATATTAAAATTTATTATATTTCTATAAAATACTTAGTAAATAAATATATAACATATTTTGTATTATAACTTTGATATTTAATTACAAGATAATGTATAAAAGAAGACAATGGGCAATATAGTGAATATAATTAATTAATGAATTTGAATTGAATGTAAGAAATCTTTGAATTGTAGAAAAATAAAGAGAAAATGGCACTTTTTCCCCCTAAATTATATACTTATAGCACTTTTCCCCCCTCAATTATTTATGTAAGCATATTAGCCCCCTTAATTATTTTAAAAGTGGTTGTTTTCCCCAAAATATTTTAAATTGACATATCTACCCTTAAAGCAAACATTTTATTTATTTTACTTCTCCAACAAATTATTGCGTATATGTAGCGATTACCACGGTTCGGTTCGAACTGAACCAAACGCTATAACAATCGAATTAAAAGTTTTCAGTTATGATTCAGATCTAGAACCCAATATTTGGATTTCAATTTATTAAATTTAAGAATAAAAGAAAACTGGATCATGAACCGTGAATCGGCGGTTTCGGATCCAGTTCGCGATTTTGAACCGTCTTTATTTTAAAATTTTAAATAGTCTAAATTCAACAATAAATGTATTTTATTTTTTCAGTTCGGAACATGAACCGGCCATTCCCGTTCGTTGTTTTAATAAACTCTAAATATCGCGTTTTGATTATAAATTGTAATTGGAATATTTTGGTTTGGTTGCTATAGTATCTGTTTGGTTTGAACCAAATTATAGTAATAATTTGTTGGAGAATATTAAAAATAAATGAAATATTAATTTTAAATATTTATTTTAAGGGTAAATATGTCCATTTAACATTTCAGGGGAAAAAAGAACCACTTAAATAATTCAGGGGGAAAAAGTGCTATAAGTATATAACTTAGGGGGAAAAAGTGTCATTTTCCCAAAAATAAATAATTTTTTTGAAGGTTGTAGAAAATAAATATAATATAACTAATGAAATTATATCTCTTTTTAAATTCTTTATAATGAATAATTTTTGTTTTTGAATAATGACATTATAGCCATCTAATTTTAAATTAATTAAATGCATATGTATTATTTTTTGTTGCAGCTACCAATCTTTTTTTTTTTTGAAAGTAACCAATGTGGTTATATTTATAGATAAGCTGAAATAGCGTCTGAGATAGAGTCCCAATACATAGCCATTGAAAACTGTGTAGCTGTAGAAGCTAATGCCTGAGCTAATAAATTCTGCGATCTAGGAACAAAACTAACTGAGCAAAAATTAAATGAAGTCATGCAAGTTTTGCAGACATCAATGACATAACTAATATATGATTTGGGCGGAGCCCTTGGTGTAGATAAATAGCACTGTAACGTTTGACAATCCGTGTAAATCTGGACGGCCCGTTCACCACGCAGCCGTAGCCAGGATAAAGCTTCTTTGCACGCAAACGCCTCGGCCATGAGCGAGGAAAAGCAGTTCGGAAGAGGGGCACTGTACACCGCAACGTACCCTCCGTCGGCGTTTAGCAACATTGCGCCCACCGTGGCCGAATTTGTGGCATGAATGTATCCGCCATCTATATAGCATCTCCTTGGGCGTGGTTCCACCGTAGCAGCAGCAACAAGCTCCGGTAGCGGCGGGCGCAACAACGTTGTCGGCAACGTTCCAGTCGGCCGGACAGTGTACCCGACGCCATGCATGCATCGTTGCGGTTGCCACGGCAATCAGATTCCTGGGTTGGGGTAGACATTCATCCCATACTGCACCATTCCGTGCTCTCCAAATATGATATAGAATCGCAGCTGCATAGACAATTCCATTAGTGTCTAGAACATTTAAGATTGCACTAAACCACTCATGGAAAATATTTGTCACAATATTGGGAAGTGGGAGGTTGGATAGCGCCCATACGGAAGTAGCGTAGCCACACGATACTAATGAAATGCATAATGTTTTCTTGCATGATTCCACACATGGCACATATTGGATCCACATCCACCCTCTTTATAAGTAGATTGTTGGTAGTGGGGAGGATATCACTTATCGCCCTCCATAAAAATGATGTACATACTTTTCATCAACA